CGATGATTCCTACTGCTTCCATTTCCTCAATTTCTTGTTTGACAGTGTCCAGTAGTCGCATAGGTATAGGATAGGGCTTTACCCGAACAGGTGTAGGGCTGGTCAGTTCAATAGTGTGACAGTCGACCCGGGCAACTCCTGGCTTATCAGAGAAGATATCCTTGTAGCGATGCAAGAGAGAGCCGATGGCATCTCGTTCCTCTGCAGATAGATTTCCGTTCACCTCAACGTCCGTGAAAGTCTCACTTTGGCTGGAGTGTACTGTGGCAGCACAAGTTACCCCTGAATCACATTGGGAAGGCTCATCCCTGTCTTCCTCAGTGGAGACTGTACCCCTGATCGGTCACGGGAAGTACTTCTTCAGCATGTTGATGTGGAACTTCTTTCGTCGAGATCCCACCTGGACGATGTAAGTCAGGTCCGAGACACGCTCTGCAATGTCGAATGGACCTTTCCACTGAGCCAGTAACTTATTGCGCATCGTAGGCAACAGAACCAGGCACTGATCACCTGGCTTGAAACAACGAAGCTTGGCCTTCTTGTCATAGTAAGTCTTCTGAACCTCTTGAGCCTTTATCAGCTCTTGCTTTGCCAGTTGACAGGTTTCTTGGAGACGATCAGCTAAGTCAATGACATATGTATAAGTGGTCTTGACTTCCGCATCTGGTTCCTCATCATCCCACAGTTCCCGAAGAACCTGTAGGGGTCCCCGGACGGACCTGCCGTACATAAGCTCGAAGGGAGACACCTTGAGTGAGCTCTGTGGCACATCCCGGTACGCGAACAGAAGTGGGGCAATGTAGCGTGGCCACTCCTTAGGTTGTTCGGCTGCCATCCTCCTGAGCATTTTCTTCAGCGTCCCATTAAACCTCTCACAGAGTCCGTTGCACATCGGGTGATAGGGTGTTGTCTTTAGCCCCTTTACCGATAACAACCGCATCAACGCCTCCATTATGGCAGAAGTAAACTGGGTCCCCCTGTCACTGAGGACTTGTTTGGGGATACCGACCCGACAGAAGATTTCCAACATGGTTTCTGCAACAGTCGTGGCTTCAATGTTCCTCAAGGGCACAGCCTCGGGCCACCTCGTGCTAAAGTCAACCAAGGTGAGAGTATACTTTGCCCCATCGCTCGCCCTTGCGTTTATCGGCCCCACAATGTCGACCGCCACCCTCTCAAAGGGTTCAGAGATCAGTGGGAAGGGCCGTAGTGGTGCAGGTGGGACTCTCCCTCGATCACTGGTTTTCTGGCAAACATCACAAGAGAGGACTAGCCTTGCGATCTCCTGGCCCATCCTTGGCCAGAAGAACGCTGCACTGATGCGATCAAAGGTCTTCTTTTTACCCACATGACCACCAAGAGCAGTGCAATGACCTAGCTTGAACATGGCTAGGCGGTACTTGGAAGGAACCACGAACTGCAGTCGTGTTTCACCCAGAGACGTCACCGTCTCTCTTTAGAGATGGTTCCTCTTCTTTACGAACCTCGTTCGATTTCCAAATGTCTCCTTGATGGTCCCAACCATCAAATTCTTGTGTACTGCAGTGAGCGTGCTGTCATGCTCTTGCTCTTGTACGACATCCTGACTATTGATGAGATCAGACGATGTGACAATAGCCAATGGGGTGACTCGAGGTTTTGTTTGAGCCATACCCCGAGTGACTGCAGCAGCATTAACTTGGGTCAAAGCAGCAGAAGAAGTTTGGGTTGCAGCTTTCACTGCACAACTGTTTCTTGCTCCCTTGATATTTCCAATGATGAGATCGTATATAGGTTCCCTCAGGACTGCTGCAGTGACCCAACCTGAGAAGAAGGAGGTGTCCACCTCAATCTTGGCCACTGGAATCGTTTGAATGTAACTATTGGCCAATTTAACACTTACTTGTGCTCTGGTGTATTGATGTGGCTTCACCAATTCCTTCCTGACAATACAGCCTGATGCCCCACTATCTCGCATGGCAGTCACTGGAACTCCTCCAGCGTATCCTGGCTTAAGAAGAAAGGTGGAGTGACCCCTCGAGGAGAGGGTGGGAGCGGCAGTTAGTCAGTAGGTGTGGTGGGGTAGAGCTGATTCGGTATGAACCCCTGCTTCAGTTTGCATGACGATCGGCCCTGCTGGAAGGTCAGGCCACTCCCTGCTCACAGTTTGAACACCGGCGGCTTCCTGCTGCTAGTGTCTTTGTGGATTATTAATGCTGGCACCTTGGCCTACGAATTGAGCCAAGGCGGCTTCCTGCCGCCGGTCCCATCGTGGATTGTTACCCTGGCGCCAACTGTCCTGGTACTTCGGGTGGCCTTGGTACTGCTTCTGCTGCTGTTTCTGTTGCTGTCTTTGCGGTTGTGGTTGCTGGTTATTTCCCTGTTGCCTGGGTGGGTTCGGTGGCTGTTTCTGTAGAGGTTGTTGACCTTGTTGGGTACCTGCCGACGCCCTGTTCAACCACCGCCTCCGAGTGTGGTACCCGAAAGCGCTGAAATGAGAGTCTGCTTTGCTTGCCATTTCCTTCGACGTCTTAACTCCATTGGCCCTCATTTGAGCTACAGGTACAGGAGGACAAGACCTTTCAAACTGCGTGTGCACCATCAAGTCTATATCTCCTTCCATGGACTTGAGGGGTTTCATCCTTACTCATCCACTGAGCCACATAGTCCCTTAAACGTTCCCGGAACTGTGCAGCCGTTTCATTTTCTTCCAACATTGCCCTGTTGAACTGATGCCTGGCCTGCTCAGTAGTCAGCCCATATGCCCGCAGCAGTGCAGACTTCATATCAGGGAATTTATTTTCAAGACGCTCTAGTCGTCGAAGAATCCCTAAAGCTTTCCCATCAAATAGGTTCAGGAACTCAAATTCATTAATGCTGTCATCAAGCTCGTAGGCTTCTGCGAGATGCTCAAACCGGGAAATGTACATTTCCATGGCTTCGCCCGCCTTAAAGGTGGGCATCTGGGGAAAATTTCTTATAAGTGACGTTTTGAGTGGGAGTTCCTGACGGAGAAGAATTTTGGTTCCTTCCCGCTGAGGCCAGTTGGAACTCCCGTTCCCTTTGTCTCTCTTCTCGTTCCTGCTTCTTTTCTTCCTTCTGAAAGTCTAGCTGGGCTAAGAGTTGTTCATGCTCACGTTGTTTGTCTTTTCTCTCCTCAGCCTTCTCCATGTATACAACCGCCTCAGCCCCATCCAGCACGAGGTCACGTGCTTCCTCAAAAGCCGCTGCACGAGCTGACATGTTGTAGGTGTGGGCGATAAAATTGTGCAATTATCCACGGTCTGTGTCCCCGTTCAGGCGCCAATTGTTATGTTTTAAATGCAAGAAAGCGGTTTTCTTACCGTAGAACTCAGATACCTTCACACTGATTACTCACCCAGGAGATTATGGTGCATCACTAAGTATAATTTCACTCGGCTTCCGGCATTCAATGCGTTGTGTACTTGATAAATGATGATTTAATGAATTCCATTAATTTCCAACATCCATCTAAGTTATTGGTTATACTTTGTCATAACCAATCAGTCTTTACCTTTGATAATAATAATAATAGAGGGGTCACAGATACGGTCAGATAATTACACTTATGTTTATTTGGCACAATTCCATACACTGGACTTATAATTTGCATGGATAGGTCAGTCACTCACATTCGCGCCACAGTACCGTAAGTTATAAGGGAGAGTATGACAACCTGGGGATTTAATCGTTTAGATCTATTAGGCCGGCCTGGAGTGCTCTTGTAGCAAACAGGCCCTCACTAGTGATCACTTCCTTTACAGCAGTGGTTCCCAACCATTTTAGTACCATGCCCCACTTTTTTATCACAAATTTCTTCATGTCCCCCACCCGTTAATTGTTTAGTATGATATAACAATATCAGTTTTGAAGAAGTATAACATAAAAAATTGTATCTTTCAAATAAAACTAAAGGGTTTAACTTCAAATTTAATCAAATAAAATCCATTTTATAATGTGTATAACATATCTACCATCAGATTAAATAAATTCAATTACAATCAATTAATGAGACCCTTGAGCCTGATGTCTACTGCAAAGAGATTTTATCCGAGGCAGAAATTTTGTTAATTTCAATCTCAAGTCGCCTCGTTTAGTGATATCCAGTCGGTTTCTTTTCTTCAGTAATAAGTCATTCACAGCACTAAATCCACATTCCACTAAGTATGACGATGGGAATGGTAACAGTAGTTTTCTTGCCAAACTACTTGTATTTGGATATTTAGCTTGTGTTTCTTCACAGAGCCACATCATTGTTCCTTTTATTTTGAACAGGGCTTTAATCGAGTCATCATTTTGTAATTCTGAAAGTTCTCCTTGATACTCCATGGTTACATCTGACAGATCCACTAGCAATGGCTGAGTCATCCAAGATGGATAATTAATTTCTTTCAAATCAGAAAATCTGAAGTTGAAATCGCTTACCATTATTTTTAAGTGCTCCACAATAACAAGACAAGTAGCATCTGTTACCTCACATTTATTCAGCCAATAAAATTGTTCAAATTTTTTGACAGAAATATTTTCTTGGGATAATTCCAGAAATGATATAAAGCCAAATATCTTGGCCTTTGAATTAACAAGAGTCATATTTGTTCCTTGGAGCTCCTTATTTAAGACATTGAGTTTTTCAAATATATCTGCTAAATAACTGACAAGTGCTTTACCATCAACTGTCAGTAACAGAGTCATATAAGGTTTGTCATCCAAGAACTCACTAAGAATATCAAATAATTCCATGAATCTTTTCAGGCAATTCCCATTTGATAACCACCTTACATCAGTATGAAGTAATAATCTTACATAGTCTGCATTTTGATCCTTGCAAAATTGTTTGAAAAGACACTCACATTTGGCATTAGCTTTTATAGTGTTGATGCATTTTATAACTGCATTCAATGTCTCGTTTAGAACAGGGGAAACTTTTTTGGAAACTAAATTCTGTCTATGAATAACACAATGCACTAACAACATTTGGGGATTGTCGTCTTTCAATAATTTTAAACTCCATTTTTCTTGCCCATCATCACTGGAGCACCGTCTGCAGCACAAGATATAATGTTCTCCATTGGTATCTGCTTATCATCTAAATATGTTTTTAATTTCTTATATATATCAATTGCAATAGTGGTGGTTTCTAATGCTTCGCAAAATAGCATATCCTCAATAAATTCTCCATTATCAACATATCTTACATAGGCCATTAACAGAGCTTCACTATATCTTACAGTTGATTCGTCCAACTGTATTGAAAAATTTGTATATTTTAATTTTTCAACAAGTTGTACTTCTACATCACAACTCATTTCATCAATCCTGCTACTAACAGTATTATTACTGAGCGGCATGCTTTTGAGATCTTGGTCATCTTTTTCAAGAACTACTTTCAGAAAAGTTGATATTGCGGGCTTAATTAAATTCTCCCCTATTGTATGATTTTTGCCACATTTTGCTATGAGAAGAGAAATTTCATAACTAGCCTCAAGACCACGATCCTTGCTTGCACTTCTTGCAGAGAACAATGAATTTATTGTTGATCTTTTTTCAAACTTCTCCTTTAGGGATTTAAAATACTCCAGTTTTGAATTAACATGAATACTGTGTTTTGCCTTCAAATGATTTTCGAGACGACCTCTCTTCATGGATTCATTAGTCAAACATTGGTGGCACAACAGACAAAAAGGCAACCTTTCATCATGAGTCGCTGGTATGAACCCAAACAGCAAGTACTCATCTGAATACTGGCGAACTTTTTTTTGGCGTGCACACTGTTCATTTTATGCATCATGGGGGTAACTGAAAAGTGAAAATAAAATATTTATATACTTAGGAAAATAAATTTAATATCTAACTTCTGTAACATACAAGGCACAATGTCAATATGCAGTTGCCATTTCAAGTAAATATTGAGCTTTATATTCACAGTTTTAAATTAATGTTACTGTGACAAGATCAATGAATGATTATTTTTATGCATTATTTTCAGAGAATAACAAGATCAATAATCATAATGAAAAGCACTTTAACCAGCCCTCTCAGTGAAGCTAAAAAACAGAGACAGATAACTATATCAACATGAAACTTGCATTTGTGTTTAATTCAATACTGCTTCCATGCTTTATTGTGCACATTTAATTTGGTTGTAGTTAGTTTCCTCTGTTTTTTTAGCTTCAGTGGGAGCGTTGAGCAGCTGACTAAAACTCACCTTCTTCCTTGACAGCAGATGAAGAACTGCAAAGTTAAACAAGTCAGAAGCCACGCATATAGCTGGTGCCAGATGCACGATAACATTAGTGGGTGAACACTTGACTAGATTGCACAAGCTGTTGTGCTCAGCTAGGTTGTAATTACAATTTTACCCTTTAAATTTATAATTTTTACCCATATAGGGTAAAATAAAAAAAAATGTTGATATTACTATATTTTTCATATTGCCCCCCTATTATTATTGAATTGCCCCCTACGCCCCACGTTGGGAATCACTGCTTTACAGGATGAGTTAACTTTCGCTGGACTTAACAACAATCTCGGGGAATTGCACACACAGACTCGTAGCACTGGTAGGACTGCATGGCCCCTGTTCTAAGTGTAAGTCCGCAGAGCAGGAGGTCTTCTCTCACCCAAGGTCTAAAGCAAACTGACTAAAATGAGGTCTCACTGGCTTCCCCTTATCAGCCGGCCTGGTACCTTATCTCTACCTAAACAAACATTTGGGATGTGTTCTGCGGGAGGCCCAACGCAGCCCATGACAAAAGGATTCTGTAAACGCTGGAGAAAAGTGTAAATATTGTCATTTCTATTTTATCTCACGTTTTATACCTTATCCTGTGATCCATAAAAAGTGTCAGTAGCTTTATGATGTCATATTTATTTGATCAATATACACAAATTTTATGATTGTTTTTACACCAGATAAATCTATGTAATTTGTTCAGATTTTCAATTGAGATTTCCATACCTGTATTTTTTTCTATGCTTCAAGGTGTCTCTTTATGTCACTCGTGTGTATAGCTTTTTTTGTAAGTGGTGTGAAGTCAAAATACGCTGGTAATTGATCAATAACTCTGGAAGAGGGAGTTGATCACTTAAGACTGTCAGCCCCAGTCCGCTGCACGATCTCCTAGCTGTGACGTCATTCCGGAGGTAACATTTCCATTAACTACAATGACTACGTATATTCTGTACAGTTATTTTGGGTTAATACTACTGTAATATATATATATATATATATATATATATATATATATATATATATATATTTTTATATATATATATATATATTTTTTTATTTGTGGTGAGTCCCCATTAGAGTCTAGTCATAGGCTATGGGCCGTGGGTTTTAATGGGTGGTTGAGGTGTTGATTGTATATATATATATATATATATATATATATATGTAACCGTCGGAATTTACTGGACTTTAATTTCTCACTTGACTTGGGGTTTATTAAAGATTATTAGATGGTAATTGCAGTGGAAGCGCCCCTTTGAGAGAAATCCCGAACCAGCACAAGAACACTTAAATTTACTAAACAAAATGAATTGTCCGTGACCCGTGGAAGGATAGCGTCTGTGACTGGGATGAATGAGACACACTGTAAAATTTAGACACTTATATTCCCTCCAACACTACAGACACAATCAAATAATGGTACACCAATATGCGCACCTCGTAACCTGAACTTAAAACACTACTCTGGGGAATAAAGGTCATACATGATATTGAATATATTAGAAATTCAGACAATGCCTCATTAGACAACAATAAATTTAAAGTAGTAAGAAATGTTGCTTGCACACATGAAACAGGCCTTAAGGGTTTTCAACAAAATAATATCAATCACTGAGAAGATTTTATAAAAAAATAGGCAATCAATAACTCTACAATGAATAGGCCTTAAGGGCACTCAACAAAATGATATCGAGCACTGAGAAAATGGTATAAAAAAATAGAACTTATTAACGCCACCCTGAGTAGGCCTTCAGGGCACTCAGCAAAATTATATTACCCCAACAGATACACACTTCCTTACCTAACTTAAACACTACACTGGGGAACAAGGGTTATAACCTGAGATTGAAATTATAAGGAAATATTAAATGCACACAACATACATAAGTAACTGAAAAAATAGTATTAAGTACACACAAAAATATTATCACTATTATTAAGAAGTTACCGAGTCCACCAATACCCGTGAACATGCTTCCTAACCTAACACATAGATTCCACTTGCACTCCATAGTTTTTTAAGGCACAACCAACAGGCACCCGTAGTTTAAGGCCCAAACCAGCCTTTCTCAACCTTGGAAATGTACCTCTAAGTTCCACTGGACTCTTGGTCCCAGTGTGTGAACCTGTATCACTCAGCTGGCTTCACTTTTCCCCCAGTACATCCATGAAACGGAAGGGAGTGAGCCACTCAGACCTTGTACAGTTGAGAGAAGCTTTAGCTTCCCGTTAGTAAAAGGTTTTCACTCAGCTGCTTGAAGATATGTGGTATTGTGAGCCGAGGTAGAGGAGAGTTGATGACCCCAAACGATCGTTACGTCGTTAGTTGGTCACCTAGACAGCTGGGTTCACTCCAACTGTCACCATACTCAACAGGTGGCTCAAACCCAGGTCAGTGGACGGTCATACAGCTAGCTTCACCACTCGTGTCTCATACCGCCAGTGGACGATATCAAACCGCGTGGGGTCTACAGAATCATGAAAAAACTGGCCTGTTAGCTATTGTCTCACATCACCGTTTGTTCCTTCCGCCCTATCAAGCTTTGTCTGAGATTGAATAAAACTTACTTGTTAATACTGATGTTAAATAAACGAAGGAACCAGGTCACGCTATCCGTCTCTCCTGGGTACAGCACAGAGGTGGTCCTTGATCAGCCTCACCACTCCCCAGCCACGCTTGCTCACTGGTTCACGTTCTTCAGGAGTGAATTATTTACCAGAAGATTAACAGCTTAATTATGACGTACGCAACATTTTCAGACTGGGAAACGATCTATAATTATTTTCAATTTAATAACTGATATTTAATTTCATGATTCAAGTCCCTATTAACTCGGTAAATTACATTTAATATCGTATAGGCCTAGTTCGACAACCTCTCGCTACGTGCGGGGAGCGCGGAGTGCGGTCTTCCCTCTGACGACCTTGAACTCAGCATCGTCAATGGCGCGGCGTTTGAAATTACACTGAAATTTCTGAATATTACAATCGACCCCCCTAAAAAAAGACAGCACTTTCCTCATGTGCTGAGAAAAACATGCATACGACCCCCCTAAAGAATTGTTCTAAGAAACTGCATCTCACCCCTTTAACGTGCTATACGTAGCATCCCCATCTTCTCTTCTCCCCTTCTCTCTTCCGCTAACACTCGACCCCCCTAAAAAAAGACAGCACTGTCCTCATGTGCTGAGAGAACAACTTAGAAACCACCTTCAACTCTGCCCAATTCCAACTCGCTGCCAGCAACTCCATTTCTTGCCTAGCCCAATTCAAAACCAACCAGAACATACAAGCTCCCCTTTTGCCTGACCCTTAAGCTAGAGAACCAATGTCAAAAATAATACCAAATCCACATCCTGCATACTCTCCTTTGGCCTGGCCCTTGAACTAAGAGAACCAGTGTCAAAACCAATACACAGTCCAAAACAAACATGCTTTCCTTTGGCCTGGCCCTTGCACTAGAGAACCAATGGCAAACAGTACTCAGTCCACAAACGTCTACGCCTTCAACGTCGCTCAATCACGTGGAATCTGCCGGCAGAAGCTCTGACACTGCCCAGCCATCTAGTGGGATATGCTCATGACAGCAAGCACTATCTGGGCAAAACACTACTTCCTCCACCCCCTCGACCTAGCGGTGCAGCATAACTACAGTGCAGAATGACGCGACAGAGTACCATCTCCCCCTGCTGTAGGCTCTAACAAAGCACTTTTAATATGCCAGACAACCTTTTCCTACGTCATTGGATTTCCTCACTCGGTACAATTAGGAATTTTTTGGGCTGTACTGACCTCGTCCTGATAAGCCTCCCACAAATCATCCTTTTGAGTATAGTTCATGCCTCTTCTCCTTCAGCCATCCATCTGTCCACAGTTCCTTCGTCCTTAACGTCTCCTCTCACGACAAGCTTGACCTTTTTGTATAACCTCAGTTCCCGGGATTCAGTCAGGTATCCGCCACAGTTGTTTATTCCCGGCTTTCTTGTAAGTAAAGTAACTCTCAAGACGCATTCCACCTACTTTCCACGGCATGCAGCTTAGCCTTCTCTCGGTGACTGAGTGGGTTGTTATCTGTATAGACCGTGAAATGTTTCCCCGCCAAATAATCCCTGAATTTATCTACTACGGCCCACTTGAGTGCTAACATCTCTAACTTACGAGAACTATAGTTGTTCATGTTACGTTCTGATTTCCTCAGACCCCGACTTGCATAGCACACCGGATGCAACCTGCCATCATTCTGCTGGGACAGCACCGCACCTAGCCCACTAAAACTTGCATCTGTCTCTAATACACTGCCCTGCATAGTTTTTGAGGTTTGTGTATTATTAAGCTTTTCTGGGTGTATTTTGCATGCTGATCTCAAAAATGTTATCCATTTTGCTCAATCAGGTCAGAATTTTGTGCTAT